TAAAGACATCTCTACATAAAAACACTTTCAAAGTCAAAAAGGCTCATGGTAGCATGTTAATAAAAAGAAATGTGAGTAACTGAAAAAAGAGTAATTATTTTAAAAGTAATTATATGAAATTGTAATCGCAAAACTCTGTTAAACTTGCAAGCATAAAGCCAAAAGAATCAAGGTGGCATTTTACTTCTTGTACGATTTCCGTATTTTACTCTTAATAATAAACTGATACAAGATCTGTGTTTATTAAAAATAATTGAATACAGCATCTATAAAATGTTTTTCCTCCGAAACTTTTGCAAATAGATTTGATGAAGACAGTAATGCTTACTGCTGGTTTGCAAAAATCCTCCCAAGAAAACCGAATTATATATATTTGATGTTCTATACCTCAGACCAGGCAAATTATAATTATATATTATATAGATAAAAAATAAAATGTAATGCTTTTTCAGTGATCAGCTCAAGAACTCATCCTAGTTTTTGGGAAGACACGCATCACATATCCCTTTGATATTGCTTGCAAGTTCAATGGGTTCTTCTGTGAATGTGGGAGTTAACTTTTCTAAAAAGTCGGGTAATACCAACTAGTCAAGTGTTCAAGTCACTTTTGTTGCAATTAAAGCATCAACCCGCTTTGAAGAATCTTCCCCTTTAAAAACACTTTATCTAAATGCTGCGTTCGCAGATGTATACATATACAGTTCACCTATACTACAGGAAACAGCCCTAAGCTGTTTCATTTTTTCACAAAGAAAGGAATGATGACATTTTCTTAATCCTGTCCAATAACTTAATGTCACAGAAAATGATACGCTTCGCTATAAATAGAGCTCATCAGGACTTAAGAGAAAAAGGCAGGAAGAGGATGATGCTCAGCGGCCACCTGCAGTGACATTACAGCCCAGCTTTTAGACATTTTGAAATCACCTTTTATTCTACATTTTTAGAAATGTTCTAGAATAATCAATAGTTTATTAAAAGGCAGTGCAGACAGTGTCTTTAGACTCCAAGGGGGGGAAATGGATTTTAGGAATTTAAACGAACAGTTTGACATATTTGGAAATAGACATACTCACTTTCTGGCTGAGGGTTAGATAACAAGATTGCTTACAACATTGCTTTTCTATTATAAATGTACAGCTTGATTCCAGCAGATGGTTAGCTTAGCATAAAGAAAACCGAAAAGTAAACGACTAGCCTGGCTGTCTTGTCTGTCAAGGAAGCAAAATCCACCTACTAGCCACTCACTTTCATACTGTGCATGGTTTTATGTCATTAATACACAAACTAAAGTATAAAAACAGCTGTTGTTACCATAGACTGTATATATAAAGGTTGTTACTGGTGGAGTTGCGCCAAATGAACAGTCCAGCACATTAACACCCCAAAACATCAAAAGTTGCGTCAATATGCTATTTAAACATATTGGAAATATAAAGGATCCAAGTCAAGGGACAAGTTCAAACCATATATGACACTGTTACACACAAACTTCATCAAGGGGCTCTATTATGCTTTTTGGGGTTTTCCCTTTCCTGTAGGGATTTATAAAGGGTGTTGTGCTTGTAAAAGGTCTACAAAGGCTAAAGCTGATTCAAACTGGCTCTCTTGGATGTTGTATAGATAACCATGGATTTACAGCACACTAGCCTGTACAGAATGTACTGTACTGAATTTCTGAACAAATATCAGGACAGTAAAGTAAATTAAACCTCAAAAGAAGCACATTTAACTTCAGAACATTGCTGTTAATCACATGGATGGTTCTTGGAAATCTTGTCAATTTCAGTGAACAAGCCAGAAAAATGTTCAATAAAAGGAACAATATGTGCAATCATTTTGTAGATAAACATGCAGTTTAAAAAGCAGTGGACAGTTCACTTTTTTGAGATTAAATTGGAATTACAAAAAACAAGGCCAGTATTTCATCTCAGCATGCTGATCACTTTAAGGGTTATGTGACTTTGTTCTGCTGTAGCGTTTGTAATATCCTCTGAGGCCATCATACTGTGGTTTTATGTGGTCTGTTCCAGCTTTTATGAGCCGCCTCCGGTCAGTGTTCTGTGCACGTTATCTCATTAATGAGGATTACCATAATGTAGGTTGTTGCAATCTAGTAATCCAGGACCCCATTGTCAAAAAGTAGCTTAATCATATTTGAGACGTCTTTTGAAAGCCAATTTTTAGGCCTGGGTTAATCTACTCGGACCTGCTTTGGCTTTCATTTATAGCATGAATGGCCACAACTGTCTACATACTTTAACAAGGTGTTATGGTTGTTCTGCACTTGATCCTGTTCCGAGCTTTATTGAGTGCTTGTGCTCTTTTTTCAGCAATGCCCTGCTTCTTATTCATACCGGTGCACACCTGCGATCTCAGGAGCTGACCCGGGGCTAGCACCGTCGTCCACCTACTGTATGGATGTCTGAGCGGATGAGGTTTGACCCTGCACTCGTAACCTGAGTTGCACCAGTCGCACCTTGAAGGAAAACAAAAAGACTGCTGGAGATTTTTAGCAGCCATAAGCATGGGGTCAATGCACCCTAATTATTGAAGCTCCATGTACATGTACCTGATAGCACTATTGGAAATAGTGCTATCAGGTGAAGAAAGTTCAACTATGTTTTGTTGCAGGCTGCACAAAGCTGAACAATGGAATGTCTAATTTGAAATTTCACACAATGCTTTACATGCGGCTGTGAATAATCGATAAATAAGCACCTACTAAGACATGACTAATCACACAACACATGGACAGATGTGGACAACTGTATTTCTCTCAAGAGGAGCAAAATATGTTTAGAATAAACACAGAATATATATGTTTATCATTTCAAAATAGTTACATTAAAAATTATGGGGGAGATCGGAGCTGGTCATGAAGTGCATAGAAAGATTTAAATTGTTAGATTGAGTTTTTCTAGGCCAAATCTTGTCTTTGGCATCCTGCTCTAATTCCTCAGAAATTAGCATGCACCTTTCCCTGTATGAACACAGCAGGGCTGTCATTGGCCGTGACTTTCAAACTGACAAAAGGCTGCTCTTGAAAAATATTAAACCTCTTCCTTAATTTATTCATCAAAATCAGTTTTTCTCTTCAAAATGCCCCCAATTAAACTCACATTAGTTTGACGATGGTAGCAGCAGCAACTTGCAAATAATACAATCATTTGTGTCGAGAAATATCACATTATGTGTGCTTGTATTCACATCCCATTACTAAGTCCAGTCATGATAATAGCTCAGTGAGACTGCACCGTCAAGCACAGCCGAAGGCATCAGTTTGTGATTAAAGTGGTTGGGACAAAAGGGTTCCGATGAAACATACATGAGATATAAGGAAATAAAATGAGGATCAGAGTGGCGGGTTGGTAAAAAATGGCATTAAGGCACATTAAAAAGGCATAGCCTAGAGAATACAAAAATACTGAGCATGAAACACAACATTGTGGTGGGACCTGTGTCCTCTGTGTAAATGACATCTATGAGCACAGCATGCTTTGAGGTCAATGCTAACATCGGCATGCTAACAAGCTCTCAATGAAAATGTTTAAATGGTAGTTCATCATTTTCGTTTCGCATGTTAGCATACTGCCATTAGCAAATAGCACTAAACAGGAAGTATAAATTATCTTGATGGGAATGTCATCAGTTATATCGTCATAAATCAAAATATAGGACACATTTTATTCACATGATGTTTGCGCTAAATGAAATGACAGAAGATCATCAAAGCTAGCATGAGTCATCCTGATGGGAAACAATTTCATCAGATCACATTCATCATAGGGGACTGAATGCAGGTCCTTGATTTGCCAATTTCTTCCCCTCTGGGAATCTCTCCTTATCCTGAATCTACTTTATCTGGAGCAAGAGTCAAAGCAAACTTGACATTGCAGACATTTGGCCACGTAAGATACTGTATGTTGACTTGTTGACAACATCTTGGTTATAACTAATACAAAAAGAAAGGGAGGAAAAATGATATAGCCTACTATAAATTAATTATGTGATTTTGATTCAGGGTTGTATTTTTCTTTTGCTGTAAGTCAATAGAGCTCAACAGGCTAATTAAAGCAGGTCAGCTATTGTCCTGGAGCAGAAATAATAGCTCAAAGTGGCTGTGTTAAAAAAATCATTTTATGGTCCACTTTGAACATCATTTGGGAGAGAGGGAAGCATCATAAGGAATGAATAAACAGTCAGTCAGGGGAAAGCTCACTCACCTGTGGTCCGATCCCGGCAGAGCTCTCAAAGTTGAGTTGGATCAAACTCTGAATAACTCTCCTCGCAAGCTGAATTCTAATGATGGCAGAAATCCATGTCCATCTTTGGTGAGAAGGTTAGGTTACACAGTAGCTTCACTCAATAGATTCAGATCAGATCTATTGTCAACCACGACAGTCCGCTGCAGAGAGTGACAGAGTGAAAGATGTGAGAGATTACAGAAAGTGACCTACTCTCTGTCTACAGACCGTATCTCTCACTGTTCCCTGGTCTACAGAGCTTTGCCCTGTTCCCATCACCTCACCAATGAGCACCACACACCTGTATTAGAATTAACATTTTTCCGAAAATGTTTTCTTTTGTTTAAATGTGTTTGTGCTACGACTAATGTTTTTAATGTTAAAGATAGTTTTGTGTACCATACATGTTGTTTTTTCCAACTGAACATACCGTAAAGACTGTCAAAATGCATGTTATTTTATTTTGGTCACAATTGTTATGCACTTAGTAATGAAACAAATTCCAAATAAAATAAATACCAGGGACCTGGTTAAAAAAAAAAACGTGGAATATTTAAAAGCTTTTTCGCCATGTGCAGTTTGATTAAAATTCAATAAACACACGTCTTTATTTAAAAGTAATTAAACTCAATTGTGCAGGTATTTTCTGTCGAAGAGTCCCTTAGATTTATGTTTCATCCGATTCCCTCAAGTAAACCTAAAGATAGCAGTTATTGACTCTTCCATTTTACTAACTTTAACAGGAAATACTTGTCATATTTGAAGAATGAAAATTAACACTCATTCAAATTATTAAATAAACGTCTAGAGTGAATTATGGGGATGCACGAAATTGTGCACTGCATCAAAATGCTTCTAATAGGAGTTTGTTTTACTCTCCTTAATTATTCAAATTTGTGATGCAAGGTGCAAAAAATGACAATATTTCTGGGAATCAGTTTGAAGTAGCTTTTTTTTTTAGATGTGCTTGTCTTGTTACAAGACAGAGTGAATTATCTTTGAAGGGAGGGAACTAGTGTCCCCTGAGGCGCAAGCTGCGTTTGGTAAAGCGCACAGCGGATGCACACAGTTAATGGTCAAATCAGTTTGCTTCCAGAGATTAACATGTGCCACGGACCATCGCTCTTCATGGATTTAGAATGAATTATATTTCACTTTTTCCAGTTTTAAATCACATAATATGTGTTAGGGACTTAAGGAGATAATACGTGCTTTTGGAGAGTGCGCGAGTTTGGTTCCCAAGTTTGGAGACCAGACGCCAGCTGGAGAGTGTCGAGTGCCTCCATCACAACAAAAACAACGTCAACAACTACTAAAACATCGAGGCTTTTTAAGCGGATGTCAAGATGAATGACACGGACGATTTTTGCAAAAACAACCAAACAGGGAACATGACCGACCCGTCATGTGTAAAACCAACTCCCGCGTCCCACAGCCAGTTCGACCTCGCCACTTTCATGCACATATTGCCTTCAATTTACGGCATCCTGTGTTCAGTGGGAGTTATAGCCAATGGACTGGTCATTTACGCGGTGAAAGCATGCAAGAAGAAAATGGTATCAGACATATACTTGCTGAACTTAGCAATAGCCGACATGCTGTTCTTGCTGGTGATGCCGTTCAACATTCACCAGCTGGTCAGAGACAGGCAATGGGTCTTTGGAAGCTTTATGTGCAAAGCGGTGGTGGTCGTGGATGTCAGCAACCAGTTTACCACAGTGGGAATTGTGACTGTGTTGTGCATTGATCGGTAAGTGTTAAATAACTCCATATCACAGACTTGGTTCCAATGTTCGTCGATATTATATTCTAACTAAGGTATTGGAAAAAAGTAAGATATATTTTGAAGGCATCCCATTATCACGTTTTGAAGATAATATATATATATATATATATATATATAGGCTACCAGGGCTTTGGGGATTATTTTCATTATCAGATAATATGACAATTATTTTCTCTATTAATCTTTTGGACTTGTTTGAAAATAGGAAAAGTTTTTTTTTAGAGTTCAAGATGATGTCTGTAAATGTATTTTTCCTTCAACCCAACATTTATATTTTACATTTAGCCTACATGATATAAAACTGAGAAAAAAAGCAGGAAATCTCCACATTTAAGAGGCTTTAAGAGGCTTTAAGCAGCATGTTCTGCAATCCCTGCTAGAAAAATGACTTTTAATTGATTATTGAAAAAGCTGGCAATTGATTTTTTGTTGAACTAATCATTCTTGGAATAATTGTGACAGCTGCAATGTATTTTGTCGACATTTCATTTACTTTTAAGTATTACATATTCCCTGTTTCTCAGTGTAATGTACAGATGCCATTGTTAAAAAAAGAGGTCACTTAGCAGCAGTCCATCTGAAGATACACTCATGGAGCAGGGTAACATCTGTGCAGCAGCCCATGAAAACCTAATGTTCACCACATAAATGAAATTAGAGTCATGTTTATGATCTGAGCACATCAAGGACATTTTAATGAGTCTGTGTGCCAAGTGTTGGACTGATAAACATCTCCATTTGAAGGTAATCACCGGAGCAGGGGTTGCTCTCACAGCTTTAATGTAACACATCTTCAGTGTAACATACATAATGCTTTTCTGTGGGCCATTTGACCAGCTAATTGTGTTCTGAGAACAGCACCTGCAGAGAAAAACAGCATTTACTGGTTCCATCACATGTGGTTATAGAGCACAAGTCTTGTTTGTTGTTTTCATTTCATCAAAATTATTTTTTAATCTAGCCTTGACATTTCAACAATTCAGCTCTATCCTTTTCAATAACTTTAATTATAAGTTTTAAAAAGTCACAAAGGTTTGCTGAAGCAAATACTGGAAGGAAATCAAGAGGAAATTCAGCTCCAAATTCAACACAAGAAATGATAGGCTGTAATCTTCTGCTGAAATGAGGTCACTAATATAACCATCCACACACCAGCAGACAAAAGAAAGCTAACATAAAGTTTACTAACAATAAACAAGCAATGCTTAAAAATAAGCAACATAATTACAATTCTTTCGTAGGGCTGTTAAAAAAATAAATAAATGAAATCCTAATTATATAAACAATGGACTATTTTTCCATTTGACAGCTCTAATAATACTCCTCTGCTTCATGCCCGATCAAAACAAGAACACATTTCTGTCCAATAGATTATCCAAGTTAATGAGTGCATCAAGTGACATGGAAAAAGTTAACTTCTGATGCTAAACTTACAAAGTTATGTCTGTCTAAAACATGCACGTCTAGTTTCAAACAACAACTTTCTCTAAGTTTTAAAATGTTCCAGCCACCAAACAAAAAATATAACTTTAACCAGTGGTGAAGAGAAAGCATACTACCAACAAAGACAGAGTTGCTTTAATCCATACAAGAAATAATTATTTCTGCATGTTCCACTTCGACTGAGGACAGTGAGTAATTTAATTGGATTTCATGGTTTCAAGTTATTTGGATATCAACGTGTTTCCCCTAGGATGGAGTCATAGCAACGGTGCTAAGGCACGTGGGCCTAGCATAATGTGAGCGCGGAGTGCGTGGAATTTTTTAGTGTGTGCGTGTGCGAAGTGCACCCCGCCAATTTGTTTCTATGTGTCTGCCAGCACAAGAAAGGCTCTTGAGGCCTAGTACCAGGGCCGGTTTCAGCCAATTTGCTGCCCTAGGCGAGATTTTATATAAAAATAATAAATGAAATATCTCTACAAAAGACAAATACACTACAAAAACAGAAACTTATTGACATAGGTAATATACATCAAAATGGCTTCAAATGTATTCAGTATTGTATGAACTTGTTTTAATTGGGGGGTCGACGTCACATCCTCTAGGGGGGTAAAAATGCTTCAATCTGGTGCACTTTGAGCACACAATTACTAGAGACCTGATCTAGGGGGTACAACTCTAAAACACCCATATGAAAAAGATCGGTTTACATTTTAATAAGTATGTGAACATAACCAATAACCTACCATAGCCAATAACAAATAAATGTAACATATTTTATTTTTGTTGTTCATTTATATCTTATTTTACCTAGTTAACATTTATTTATTTATGCATATTTTTGTATCTCTCCAACTTTAAATGATATTTTTGGTTAACTGTCCTATAGTATACATTGGAAAGATTTCAAACCTGTTTTTATTTATCCTAATAATTATAAAGGAGTACCTTGGAAATGTGTGTTTACATAATTTGTAAACACATATTTGTTTGAGACCCACTGAGATAACTAAAATTAACTATCTAAACACTCAGGGTCCTTTACCTCACTGAGCCTCTCAGTCTGACAGGAGAGCTCTCCTCCACCCTGGTTGGAGAAACATCTACTTCTTATAACCGTTAGCGCAGCTAGCACCAGATTCTAATAACAACAGCACTGGTACCGGTGCGCCCTCTCTCTCTCTTACCCTCGCTCTCTCACTCCCACGCTCGCACTTTGGCTGTGAGCTGCGGGCGCCAACATAAGCCACGATAAGCCAACATCCCCCACTTTCATCACTTACAGCGCCCATCGTACAGGGCAAATGAAAAGTGTAACCCCGCTGCGCCGCCGCTATGGAAACACTGACATGTACCCATTTCCAAATAAAAAAAGAGTCACGTGTAAACATTATTAGAAGAGCAATGGTAGTAATACAAGAAGTAGAAAGAGAAACTTTCACAAAAAAAACGTTTCACCTGAACCTATTTGCAGCCTAATGCCTTTCCTCACACAACAGACAACCACAGAGCATTACATATCTACTGCACTATGGTTTGGGCAGTCCAAAGTGCACATTTTTGAACATATCAATATCTTAGCTTGGCTGATCAGCGGCAGCACATCTGCAGGCCTGCCAGATTTGGTACACACATGATTCAACTATCACACTAAAACTTTATTTATGTTACTTTTGTCAAGGATCAGAATTTCAAACACTACATGAAACCAAATAAACGAATAGTCTATGATAATTGAAATTTAGCAGGCTGTCCTAGAACGAATCACAAGAATGTCGGAGTCTTAACCGGACTGCTAAAGGGACGGATGCGGATAAACATGCTGTAAAAAGGAACTGGAGATAGGTAATTTGCCCCACTTAAATGACACTCGCTGTTGGTGATGACAAAGTGGTCATTCATTTCCAGCAAATGTCCTCAAGACTGTCAATTTTGTCCAAACTAGCTGAGCGGCTTTCAAAATGAAACAATCAAATGAATAATCCAAATGGAAATGTGTTCATTTTCCACTGCTGACATCCTGGGTAAATTATACTAATTTGCGCAAGAAATATATTGAGAGTGCATGACATCGTACTTGATGTAATTATATTCCTTTACTTGATTTGAGTCTCTGAGATTGTCAAAAATGAAAACGACCACTTTAAGCAAAACTTCCCTTCAGTGATGTTGCTTCAGTCATTTGTGTTACTGACAGGACTCACACTAAAATATCTTCTTCCTCCTTTAGGTACATAGCTATTGTCCACCCCACCTCCGAGAAGAGGACCATCCAGTGGACCATCATCATCAACATGCTGGTTTGGCTGGGCAGCATGCTCCTCACCGTCCCCGTCATGCTGTACGCCAAGGCCGTGCGCAGGCAGCAATTTGAGGTGTGCATAATGGACCTGGAAGGGCCTGAGGACATGTACTGGTACACTCTCTACCAGTCTATCCTGGGCTTCATCATCCCTCTTTTCATCATCAGCACCTTCTACTCTCTCACCCTCTACCACGTCTTCAGCTCCATCCGCCGCGTCAAGCGCAAGCAGTCCGTTTGTGCTAAAAGAGCCACCAAGATGGTCCTCATGGTCATCGCGCTGTTCCTGATCTGCTGGTCGCCCTACCACGTCATTCAGGTGATCAACCTGAGCAACGACAACCAGAATCTGGCCTTCATCTACGCCTACAACATCAGCATCTGCCTCTGCTACTCCCACAGCTGCATCAACCCGCTCATGTTGCTAATCTTCGCCCAGAATTACCGCGAGCGTCTTTGCTCCAGGAACGTGCTCTACAGCTCCCAGCACTCCTCCAAGGTCACGGTGGTCAAAGCGGATGGCTCCAGTACGACCAACGACCCCAACTACCGCTGCACTGTCATCTAATCACAGTGGACTTTTTTCCTTTCTTTTTTTTCTTGTACATACACATGTCGATGTTCTTGCCCAATAAGAAAGTTACTTGTGGCCTTTGAAGTCATGTTTTTGCAGCTTTGGAGATTGATAGCCTTCAAAACAAAAACAAAAAAACTGGGTATGAAGCTTTAGCATAAAAGTCAACCATGCCTAAGTAACATGTATTTTAAAAGTGCAATTTTTTTTTACATTTGCAGTGCAATATGCACTTACTTACTCACTCAATATACATTATTCAATTCACATTGCCCTACAGTCATGATGATAATGATACATTATACATATTAATTGGATGGGAATATGTTATAATGTAATATTTATGTATGTTAAACCATTCAGTGATTGTTACTATGTAATTAGTTTTATTTAAGGATTCATATTTGTATTATATTTGTCTCCTAAAACTTGGGCCCAGCCAAGCACACCTGAGGTATCACACACATGCTTAAGATCCAGCCACTGAGTCTTTAATTGGATCATTCATTTATATATATTTCTGTAAGTGAAGTTATGTTATTTGTCAATGCCACTTTTTGTTTTCCTTTTTTGCCATACGGATCATATTATTCTCTGATGGATGGAGGCGCAAATTGCAGATTTTACTTGCTGTGTATGTTTTGGTGCATTTTTTCAGTTTCCTTTCCATCTTATATATTTTCCTTTTTCAGTTATTGATACAAGCAGACTTATACACAAAACCCTACATAACCACTCTTAGCAACGGAAACTGGCTTACATAAATCCTTCTTATTTTTTGGTTGGTGGTTAAGTTTAGTTATATTAGTCATATTTCTGGAGACATATGACTAATTTGTCCATATTATAAGATGATTGTCCCTATTTCTATGTTTTATTTGCATGTCTCTACCTCTGTCTGTTTGGGAACTGTCTTTTCGCACAAAAAACGCCCCACAAAAACAACCGAAATTATATTGAAAACATAAATCCACTCCTCAGACGAAGGTTGGAGCGCTAAAAAGGAAAGCGGCTGTTTCTGAGCCAATCCTACAGGGAATAACAGCACTGACTTTCAAAGATGCACAGATGAGCAAGGACTCTGAGGGAGCAGCTCAAGTGTGAATCTATTCCCTTTTGGACAGAGAGCTTTCATTAACCTTTATCTACTACAGGGCGCACCAAGTGTCCTGCTGGTTTACTGACAACAGTGAAGTGCAGCCTTTGAGATCAGTCACTGACAAACATCAGCATGTTCAAGTGTGATATGTTTAACATTTCTTATTATCAGCCAGCCTCCTCAGGGCTCACCATGAAATGTAATTGCACTTAACAACAGTGGTTTGATTTTATCTTTACTCATTGTGACGTCCTTAGACTGCCACAAATGACTGTATGAAAATCAAGGGCTTATACATTGGCATAATAATGGCTGATAAATAACGCACTCGTGCTTTATAGATCAGTTATTAGCCATTCATTACAAACTCATAATGGAATTTCAGGTTGTAAAAGTTGATCATTCGATGGTGTTTATCATTTTTATATTTGATAAGAATGAAGTTATTGTAAATCCACAAATTATGTAAATCCACAAATAAATGTTTAACTATGAGAAAAGACTGCTATTATTATTGATATAATGAAGTATGTCACTGTTAAAGTTAATAGATTGTTGTTATTGAGACTTTGGTCCAGAGAGTCTGACAAACTACTTAGCCCCAAATTGGTACCTATCAATGGCCCATAACTGATTCAAACAAAAAATGTAAATGATTTATCAACCATTACTAGCAATAAATCCATATAAAATCCCAATTGTTAATAAAGATATTGTTTCAAAGGAAAGAAAGAAGGCATTTTATGGTATATTTCACGGTAGTCAGACATCAGAGTGTTACTGGTTGTTCACCATACGCACAGATTGAGAGTCTGTGTTTTACTATTTCTAGACTCAGCAGAACAGTCCCCTCCTGATTGTTTGAGACTTTAATCTCATGCAGCGTAAAACACCAATGACTGCTTTACAGTCGGTGTCGCACCAAAATAAAGGCTAACAAGAATCTGTCAGATTGTCATGATAGGCCCACGGCAGGGAGGTTTATCCCAGTGGATGTGTTACGATCTCAGTGGATGGATTTTAAAACACATCTGAAATTCTGTGCTTTTTGTCTCTCTGTTTATTCATCCAAGTCCTTAAGCCTCCTGAGATATTAACTCACACCTATCCACAATTCATGTTCTCCTGTTATTGTATTTAATGTACAATTTCCTTCAGATTTTGACTGTTTTTTAAAAGATTAGATGCATCTGTATTCACCCAAATTGCTCAGGAGCTGCTTTTGGGCTTTGAAGTGTATTTTTTGTGATAAAAAGCTATTTTCAAAATGGACTCAAGGGACAAATGCAGTGCTCTGCAGAGACAACAAACAAAGTGTGAAGGACAGGCAATGCTCCCACATTAATATCAAGTAATCTGCCCTGATTGAACATTTGCATAATGACAAGTGAGAGGCATGTACAGGAAATGTATATATTGCATTATCTTTAGTCATCAGAGTTATTCATTAATGTATGTATGTTTACAATGGCACTGGAGCACTAAATGTGATACTGTGCGTCTTGTACACTAATCTTGTGGCCTACTGTACGTTCAAATAGAAGTGCTTCATGTCAAATATTAATATTTTTTCTCTGTGCCATGTGCAAAGATTGTAGGCATTGTTTTTTCTATGACCAAAAGTGAATTACCAGCCGGGCCAAATGGGCTGTAGATTTACTCTGTGGTAATTAGTGTGTGATAATTAGGTTCATAATAATAATGTGTTTGGTTATATTCATCAAATTTTTTGAATTTGCAGGCTAAAACATATAGGCAAAATGTTAACAGTATGGTCATTTTAACTTTAGGATGTTTTTTTTTAATTGCGTAGGCTGATCTCTCAGGGCCACAGTAGGTGACCCCTGATGACATCGCTGTGACAAATCACGGTTAATATCAGGGGAAGTTAACAATTGACTTTCATTACATTTTGTTTATGGTGGTCCTATGTAGAGTCAAATAGACGATACAGCAGCATATGCTTTGAGGCGGGTCTACATTGTGATTGACAGGTCGCTGGCACTGTTTTCCGTGTTTGGGTGCTCTACATGTTTTCGTCTTAGAAATGTAACCCTTTCCCAGAGTGTTTTCAGCTCATTGTTACATTTTGTTGGCCTAAAATGTGTTTATCTGGCCCTGTTTTTGAAATAGTCTTTGTTAGTGTTTGGTATTGTTGAGTAGCTTTCACTGTTTTGTGATGTTTTGTGTATCCACTGGCCAATGAAATCTTTCAAAGCACATGTGTGTCTACACCAAAAACATGCCATCTGATCTCGTATAGTAGATTATTATGTGAGTTATAACTAAATGTAAACTTTGTTTGTGAAGATTCATATTGATATTGTAAAGGGTACTTTTATACTTTTAATTGTTTTCCAAATGCTGTCAATGGAGAAACTGCAGCTTGTACGTTGAAAGTCAGTTATTCAAGTAAAGTCAAACAAACTTGTCCAGAGACGACTTTTACTTTTATTTAATTTGTCAGTCCTCTTATTTCTTATCGAACAAACATAAAAACACCTGGACAGCTTTTAATCATTGATTGGTGCTGAGGAAATATTCTGCATTTGCCTTTCATTGCCCTCGCCCGCATGAAAGAAAAACACTTGACTTTGCAATTTACAGTGTTTTTCATGAGCTCTTAAATTATTTATGACTGTAGGAGGCTGCCAGCGGATGCCAACAGCGGAAGTAGAAAGGACTGCATGGAAATGAGAAGCACCGTCTTGTGGGAGTTTATTTGCATCAAGTTTGTCCGATGTTGAGGGACACGCTGATGGTCTATGACCTTTAGGAGGCACAAAATCAGAGGCTTGACAGCAGAAACAGTGTCAAACTCACGATCAATCATCCATATAAGGGACCAAGGAGGATAAGAAGTTAACTTTGTTTTTGTTTGATTTTTATGTTAACAACTGCAGGTTCATACCACAGAGGATTTCATTAACATGTCAACATTTCCCCTGAAGTATCAATGTGGCCCCGCAGCACTTTTATGTAGGACCATTTTTTTTTTTATGAGGCCAAAACTATTTGGGAATTATGGATCCTTTGTGCAATTTGATTTGAAAGTTGTAAACACAGTTGAACAAAATTATCATGGTAGGTGCTTTGCAATTTTTTCAATCTTTTAATTTCAGACTAGATTAACACAGCAGATACGTGATGCTAATGTGCAATATGGTCTTTGAGGAAAACATAACACATGCACACATATTTATATTTAACATTGAATTACAGAAAGTGTAATTTTACCTTTTACACGGGAGTTAAGACACCGGTTAGCTTAATTTAGCATAAAGACAAACAAAGAGGAAGAAAAACAGCATGGCTCTGTCTAAAGTCTAAAACATATGCAGACCAGAAACTCTAAAGCTTTGTTTTAAAGTTACATGTTGTTTTTAATCGGTAGTCTTACCAGATCATAGCTCGACCATGAGATTACCAGGCAACACGCAACACTCCAGGAGGTTTCTTAGCTGATAGCTGCTAAGAAATAGGCTATCATTAGATGAGATTAGATTCAACTTCATGGTCATTGCACATTGTACAACAAAATGCAGTTTGCATCAAATCAGAAAGTGCAAAGACTAGAGAAGGGAAGAGAAGTGTGTGAGGTTACAGCGGAGAGATGCATTGTCACAATCTTATGAAGGACCCTATGCAGCACTCGAGAAACCACGGAGTATTGGTAATGTACTTTATTGGCAATAATACCAGAGCAGAGGGATACCGGATGATGTACAGGCAAACGAACCGGAGGACAGCGGGCAGAAGGTGAGTCAGGGTCGGGCAGAGGGTCAGGGAGCAGGCGAGGCAGGATAGTCCAAGGACACGATCGGAACCGGGTAGGCAATCTGATAACAAACGCGTGAAAGACTAGCATAAGGCAAAGTACGATCTCGCAACGGGTGTGTGTCTGGTGAGGGTTTAAATACTGGCAGTAAAGCTAATGGGTGCAGAAGAGAAAGAGAGTGAGCAAAAACGTGGGTGTGGTTAACAGGTGAGACAGGTGAATGGAAAACTACTAGTGAATGATGGAGCCGACTGTGACACGCATAGCCTCACGTAGTGCATGCTCCGCCATTTTAGCGTATGTTAACACCATAAACCATTGTTTTTACATGTGGGCCTCTAGATGAAGGAGATGAGATATAACTTGTAATTTGTGAGATTCCAAACCTCTGGCAGACGTACAAATGTGACATTGTATCGGTCCAACTTTCTGCAATAGAGCTATTAAGCTTATTTTTCAAAATGTCAAACGTTTCCTGCCAGAACATAATTTCGGATATAATTAAATTGGCAGTACAGGGTTATACAAGAAAAATAAATGGAAAAATATCAAATAAGATTTGATTTATTTTTTCAGATAAAATGTAGTGGAATATCCTTAAAATCCATTCACATTGCATAAATAAGAAAAATAGAGCTGAGAAAGAAGGCAGTAAGTAGCCTACTAAGTCACTGAGTATAGGTGTGAAAAATTGTATGTTTTGAATGTTCATCTTATTTTATTCTGAAATAAATGTCTTCTCTTGTGCCTGTAAATTGTGTTAATAAAGTGAGATGGTGTTGACAGTTCATTATTAAAGATAAAAGAGTTAAACATACCCTCTACCCAACTCTTCACATTACCTCAACAGCACCTGTTCGAAGAATGATTGGACTGCAGTCCTTTTATGATCGGAGAAAACACATAAATCACATGATTTTTCTTCTAACCTCTTCTTCACACTGACTTCTTCTTCCTATCTCAGTGAAGCAGATCCCTCCGAGTCCCACCGGAGACAACATAAATCAAAATATGGATTCTTTACACTCATGTCTGGTCTAAGAAGAGACGCCAAACGAACCCCCGCCCCCATGCACTACAGGAAGTGCTATCATCACCAGATCATAAAAGATGCGCATCTGACAAATTCCCCGCTCTGCTGCTGAAACATTAAGGAATATCCCCACATGTAGAGTAAGTGGCTGCTTTCACAGCATTTTTCAGGTTCTCAGGTAGTGAGTTACAGTATGGCTTGTGAAAACTGTTGACCATAAAAACTTCACACGTTAACTCTAAAATGCTACTGGAGCAGAGTGCTACCACAATCTCATGGATATTACACTTGAAAATATTGACCTTTAAAAGTGGAGGTGATATGGACAACTATCTTTCCAGGAGCTTGACTATAAATGAATAGCACATTTCATGCTCATCCATCGTCCATACTAAATCTTTACTAAAAATATCACACTGTCCCACACAACACTGCTATTTCTATCTGTTAACTGTTTTGCCAAAATGACTCACAGGATCCTACTAATAAGCATGGTATGCGTAGCTCAAGCCAGACATAGCCTATTCCTCGACTGGTTCATTAAACAAGCTATGAAATAAAACACATCAATAAGCTACACCAGTGCACTGGCTGAAACTCTCCTTACTTCCATCAAACATTGGCAGTTTATTTTTAGTCAATTCTAATAAACCATCCCGCTTCTTTAAAGCTAATATTGATTAACGCACCAAATGCGTATTCATCCACGGGTTAAGTTAGTTCCTCAAAAATACATCATTCAATCCTGTTCCTGATTCATTTCTATGAACAACAGGCCACACTTTTTTTAGGAAATGTTTATATCTTTTTTTTTGTAAAGTTATATATTTGTGACCCATTTTTAAAGAAATGACTGAGTGATAGACAAAAAAAAAGGATTTGTTGACAATCAGAAAAATATGAAAATACACCAGTTTTATCCTTTAATTCAACCAACAGTAGTTGATATGGCTACTTCTTCCACGCTTGCCGATTTCCTTTAAGCTCAAAATCAGCAACCTTACTACACTTTTGCATTTCAGTTGATTAACTCAAGCAGAAAATGTACAATATGTACAGCATTCAAGTTTTCCGTCTGGCTTCTCACAAGCACTCTCCCCCCGCTGTCCGAACTCCACTAATCTCTTACAAGATGAAACACTGAACTCAAACTATTTCTTCTCAAAACTTGTTTTTTCGACCAAAATGATACACACAGATATCATATTAATATCAATTAAACATTGGTGTGATACATTTTAAAACAACACAATCAAAGTTCTCTTTATATATTTGTTGGCTTCATGAGGCCATGTTACATAAATTGTATGAACATTTTTATGAAATGATTCAGAACTTGACCCAAAATAGGATGTACCTTTATGGTACGTGTAAAGACTGACGGCACATAGTAGTACCGGTACTTGCACATTTTGAGTGAATGAATGAGAATGAATGCGCTCCAACTGAGCTCAACTCACAACCCATCTTCCCAGAGAAGTACACGTGAACGGGACCTGTGGTGTTTGACACTTTCACCAATGAAGTATTAACTAAACATAAGGGCACTCGGAGGCCTTAAGAGTGTGGACTCAAAACCCTTAAGCAGTTAGGTGCAACACACTGCACTGAATACTTCTTGAATATGAACCACTGAAAAAACTTTCTTTGCTGTTCTCAAGACCAGACGGGAGACCAAATTACTAATGAAGTATTTATTTTATATGCACTCCAAAAATCTAATTACACTACCATGCCAACACTGATCCATTTGAAGATGCTCCCTATCTCAAATATCATCCACAAATTAAAACTTAAAAGTTAACTTTCTATATAAAACAATAAAAACGATTAAATGTCTCCTAGCTGCTTCCTTCTTCCTGAGTTGACTAACAACATTATTGTGCATTGCAGCCATTATCTGATAGGTAGTGGGGTCAGATCAATAGACACGTTTGAAAAACATGTCTGGACATGTTGTGCTTTTTCACAGCAGGTATTCAGTCTTCTCTCCCTTCTGTGATCACAGTTTTCAACTCCAATATGAGCGTTTCGGTCGACTCATTATATTTTGTTGTTTGAGGACTGAAGAAGATGTCAGGCTTAACAGGGCTACCTCACCATGGCTGATGGTGATACCAGATGTGCTGCATTGAGCTCTTTAGTAAAGTCACTGCTAATGAAAACTTTCGTGAAGATATGAAGATACAGTATGTCAACACCTCCATTGTGTGATAAGCTATGCAGGAATAAGATATGATCAGAGAGAGAGATGAAAGGCTTCTTCACGTTGCTGCCACACAGAAGTACTAACTTTGACAGTGAAGGTTAACAACCAAACATATCTGTTTTAAATACTCAGTTGTCCTCGCCTACACTGAAACAAGGGATGGTGTGTTGACAAGTTCCTCCATGGTGGTTGGCTTGTTTTTCAAGCGTTTAAAAAAGTGGTTTGGGCTGACACAAGGGATAAAAGTTGCCTGTGGTAGAATTTCCATCAATGTGGACGCAACCCATAACCCCAGATAACATTCAGTTGGTCATACATCAGATTTCTCCAGTCAAAGCAAAGTTCACAAATCTGTAAAGTCCGCTATTTATCATATATATTATATACACAGTTTGCAGCCAGACTTTTTTCTTTTTTTTAACCAATTCTTGATACATTTGAAAAAACACATTCCAGCTCTCTTTTAGAGCATCCCAGAGTCTGTCTTGTGATGTTTTTTGAATTCTTCTCCTTCTCAATGTTCCCAAAGATTGGAGCTGAGGTCTTGTGACTGCTTACAGAAAGCCACGCGAGTGAACACTTGTTGCTCTTACTGGGACTTGAAATAGGCCGACAGATAGCTCTGATGGACATTTCCCAATTGCCAGAAAATCACAACACTTTTTTAAAGTCAGGAGGGACTTAACTGCATGCTTCTGCAGGACAGATCAGCTCTTCTCTGCGGTTGATGTGCAGATCTGATGCTCTGAATTCGCTAAACCGTAATCCCACGTGCTTCCATTATCTCACTGTTTAAGTCAAGCGATGTTGCATTAACCTTAGGTTCAAACTTTCCTTTTTTCTTTCCAGCGATTAAACTTGGGTATTTTTTG